GAGGACTTTGTACTATTTTTATTGCTGATTTATAAAATCATTTCAATTATCAAAAAAAAAAACAATTGTCCAGATAGGCGCATGTGATGAAATATTTTTACATTGCTGACTCACTTCACTCTTATTTCTCTTTCTCCTTGTTGTGTATCTTGCTTTTACTAGATTTCTTCTGTCTTGGTTGCTCACTAGTTTTTCCTCTCTAAAATTTAAAGTAAAGAAAATGTAAAAGTTAATCTCAATTTAAAGCAAATGAAAAATAGGCCTTTATCTTAATAGAATGCAAAAAAACCTATGAGTTTAGAAACATAGAAAAGCTTTCTGGATGATACATGTAAATATATTAAGGTCTTTTTCAAATCCAAGTCCATGTGGATCAATGATCTATTTGCAAGTCTATCATCAAGGATAGGCGCATGTGATGAAATATTTTTACATTGCTGACGCACTTCACTCTTATTTCTCTTTCTCCTTGTTGTGTATCTTGCTTTTACCAGATTTCTTCTGTCTTGATTGCTTGCTAGTTTCTCCCATCTAAAATTTAAAATAGCAAATGAAAAAGTTAATCTCAGTTTAAAGTGAAGCAAATGAAACATTTTCTTAATAGAAATATAGAATGAAAAGAAACCTATGGGTTTTGAAACATAGAAAAGCATTCAAGATGATACACTTAAATCTATTATTGTCTTTTTTAATTCCAAGCCAATCCTGGATTGATGGTCTAGTTGCAAGCCTATCAGCAAGGATATTTACATTAAATTTGTAAAAGAAATGTCATAGCTGTCTATTTATCATAAAAAAATCATGGTTGCCTTGGAGTGGTTGAGCAATTGTCCAAATAGGCATATGTGATGAGATATTTCTGAGTTACTGATCCATTTGAATCTTACTTATCTTTCTCCTTGTTGTGTATCTTGCCTTTACCCAATTTCTTCTGTCTTTTTGCTCATTAGTTTCTCCTCTCTAAAATTTAAGTAATGAAAAAAGTTAATTTCAATTTTCTTGCCAAATAGATATACTTGGAAGCTCGGTGCCTCGGTGGCATAGGTAGGCCATGGCTAATGGGGAAAACAAGAAGAAAGACAAGCATTCTGTTGAAGATCCATCTAAACCATTGCCATCTGGAAGGGAAACTCCAAAGCCTTTAAAGCCAAAACCTAAAATTGTGAAAAAATCTCCCAATCAGAACTCTGGAAAAATGAAAGAAGCCAATGGAACTTCACAGGTTCAGGAGAAAACCAAGAAGAAGAAGACAAACACACAGGAAGTCAAGAAAGATAAAGTTGCTACCACAAAGAAGAGCACAGAGGAAGGGAAGAAAGATAAGGTTACTGCCACAAAAAAGAGCACACAGGAAGGCAAGAATGATAAGGTTACTGCCAGCACACAGGAAGATGAAAAGAAGCCACATTCACAGGAAGGAAACAAAGGAGAAGGTGATGAAAAGAAGCCACGTTCACAGGAAAGAAACAAAGAAGAAGGTGATGAAAAGACGCCACGTTCACGGGAAAGAAACAGAGGAGAAGGTGATGAAAAGATGCCGTGTTCACAGGAAAGAAACAAAGGAGAGAGTATTAACAATCAAAAACATAATGAAAAAATCCACAGAGATCAAAAAGACAAAGAAAAACTTGGTGGTTTGATCTTCATGTGCAATGCAAAGACCAAGCCAGATTGTTTCCGCTATTGGGTCATGGGTGTCCCAGCAAACAAGCAAGAGCTTGTCATGGGAATCAAACCAGGTCTAAAACTTTTCCTCTATGATTTTGATCTCAAGCTTCTGTACGGAATCTACCAAGCGGCTTCTTCCGGTGGCAAAAAGCTTGAGCCAGCTGCTTTTGGCGGGGAATTCCCGGTTCAGGTTCCATTCGTTGGCCTTTGTGCATGCTTTTTCTTCTTTGCAGAGACATAGCTGACAATTTTTACATGTTGGTGACTGTTTCCTACAGGTGAGGTTCAAGGTTCACAAAGATTGCCTCCCGCTGCCAGAAAATGTTTTTAAGAAGGCAATCAAGGACAACTACAATGAAAAGAACAAGTTTAAGACTGAGCTTACCATCCAGCAAGTGAGAAACACACCTTCTGGGAGCCCATTGATTACTGTTTCCTCATAATTCTCTATTTGACAGTGACCCAATGTGCTCTTGCAGGTAAAGAAGCTCATGGATCTTTTCCGACCTGTACCAGATTTCCAATCAAATGCCCGCTCTTTCATTCAATCATCCCAGCCAGTACCTCTCCCACAGCCAATACCTGCAGAAGCTTTTGAGGGCAGAAGAGAGCTTCCACCCCAGGTACTCAGGGAACCTTTCATGCGAGACCCCTACTCCCCTAATGAGGCTAGGAGGCATTTAATGGCATCTGATCATGAAAGGGAGCAGCTTTCTAGGCATCCTACCTCGGCACACAGAGAGATGATCTCTACACAAAAAGAGGCAGTTGATCGTGATCCACTTTTTTTGAGTGAGAAGGAGTATCGACTTTATGGTCTTCAAGGGAGACGGCAAACCTCTAATCCTCCTATTTATCCTAATGCTCCCTCAGTGGACCCTTACCAGAAGGATTATGGAGGGGAACAGCTTCTGGGGCAACCTGCGCCTGTACACACAGAAACAGGATCTAGGCAAGAGGTGCCTCGTCGTGATCTACTCTTTCTAAGTGAGAAAGATTACCGGACTTATGGTCTTGCGCGAGAGCCACCACCATCAACACTGTCTACTGCTTCCACTGTAGACCCTTATACAAGGGAGTCAAATTATCCTTATCATTATAGTGCTGCAGCTGCTGCTGTTGCATCCTCAGATGCATATTCTCTTTTACCTAGGAGGGAAGTAACCTCTTCGGAGGCTTATCCTTTGGTCCCAAGGAGAGAGAGTTATGATTATCTAGAAACAGGCACCACTGATTACTTCAGGAGAAGACCTGATGAAGTTGAAGCTTCATATTCAGCATATGCTTCAAGTGCTCTCTCAGATTACAACCAGAGGCACCATCATTTGAGCGGCAAACCTGAGCTTGCATCAACATCAGTTTCATCTCGATACTCATTTGCTGGTCCACCTTCTTACCGCTAAGGCCATAACCCCCATCCCCCCCACACCCACCCCCAAGCATTATAAAAAAAGAAAAAAACTAAACTAAGAAGAAAATAGAAGCCCCTATCTCCTCTCCAACTGTGTTCTGTTTACTGTATGGACATCATCAAGTCCCTCTCCTTTGTAGGCAGTTTGTTACTTTATTCAGTTTTGATGTTACATTTATTTTCCTGACTTGACATATTTGATCTTCTTGGAAGCATAGGCGCGAGCCATGCAACTATATTTTTAGACCTGGAACTGGAATCGTAGATTGGTAGTTAAATCGGATCATCTAGATGTTATAAACTGGAGTGGGACGCCTCTGGGTAATCCCAATCTTGTGTACTCTTGCTCTCAGATGTACCTTTAGAATCTTGTTAGGAGTTTAGCTCACTTAAAGTGTTCTTTTTTTTTTGGGTTGTGTAGCGTGTTCTGAGACCATCTGCAGATTGTTCCGAGCAACATGATATTTCGATTTTTGTTCAAGGTAAAATATTGTGGCCTTGTTTTTTTTTTTTTGCAACTGTAGATTTCATAACGCTGCTCTACCTTTTCCAAATTTGTTATATATCACACACTTAAAAATCTACATTCATTCATTGTACTTAAAAAGTGTATGATGTTCACAGCATGTGGTAAACATGTGGTTTCAAGTTTATTGGTATTTTTTTTTAGTTTTTTTTTTCAAAACTTGTTCCTCCACCCCCTAAACCAGTCAGATCCCTTATACACCCTCTGTAGCGTACCCTGATATGATATGTATCGGCCGGGCTGAATGTGTCATTTTTTTTAACCTTGGTTTCAAGTTTCAACCACGCCAGGAGCCCTAGCAACCGTACCATGCCTGTAGGAGACCACAATACTGAACACCTAATTAAGACCTGTGTGGTTTGCAGGTCTGGAATTGGAATAGCCCATTCCAATTCCAACTATTTGGTTGGGTGGAATAGGAATCCCATTTCCATTTTTGCTGGAATGGCCATTCCCTGCTCTTCCCTTGGGAATTAAATCACATTTCTGCTGATTTCAATTTTCATTCCTTCTGAACCAAATAGACTATGAGAATGGACTAATCTGGTTTTGATTCTAAAGGATTTTGATTCCGGTCCCAATTTTTGCTGTAAATCAAATAGACTTTTAGTTTTCTTCCTTCCCCACCCCCCAAAAAAAATAGTTGAATGTTTAACATTACATGAGCCCCTCTATTGACAGTTAGAGATTTTTCTTACTCTGTATGATAATTTTTCATTGCGCTTTTGTTCATAACATGAATCAAAGGGTGGATATGATGTGCCTTGTATCGGGTGTATGGTATCGTATCTTTTGAAAACGGTATGCTCCGAAACACCTGTTTCTAGGTGTTTCAGAACTCCAACTTTTTTTAATAAAAAAACCTATTTTTAGTTTTCTAAAAAACCAAAATTTGAAAAAAACTAAAAAAAAGAGTTTTATGTGTTTCTATGTATCGATATGATGCTGTCGATATGCATGTTGTATCGACATTTTGAACCTTGGGTGGGATAATGTAGTATATTTACAAAACCTTTCATCTCTTTGTCGTAGATCTCTGATTTGATATAGGTAGATTTAAGTTTGATTCGTTTGTATTCAAATTCAAATTGGATTTATCCATCACAGTTATGTGGAATTCGTACTAAAATCAGATTGCAATTGGATATTGAATAGTTTAAAAAATAAATTAAAAATTATCAAATATTATATGGTATTAATAAAATGATCTAAAAATGACTTGAACATTATATTTTATGAATAAATATAATTTAAAATTACTTGTACAAAACTTGAATCAAATTGGATTATATCGGATTAGATAGGGGTTGATTCATATTTGATCTAATTATAAATGGATCAAATTTGGATCACCCTTGGATAAACTCAAGATTCAAAATATCGCAACGTATCGGTCGTTACATATTGTTCCGGCAAGAACCCGATACGTGGAATATATATAAATCATTTGCTCCATTTCTTTTCGTATGTATCGACTGATACGAGCCCATATCGGGCTGTTTCGGATCTGTATTGGTCGATACGGGCCCGAATCAGTTCGGATCTGTATCATTAATCCATATTTAATACCAAATCTCTCATTAATATCGTTTATTTAAGTCTAATTATTCTTTCATTAATTAACCAATTACTCCAAGGCAAATTTGAATTTTAGTGCCTAATTCAAATTTTCTCCCTGCATTTTCCTTCAAACCAAACATAGCCTTAATTAATGATCCCCTATCATTAATTTTCTTTTGTTAGTATAAAAACTTCAAATTTTAGCTATAGCAAGATTCTAACCTTCGTCACTTGATTTTAAGTTTTAACAACTACAAGTTCACCAATGAGCCCCTATGATTATATGCATTTTTTATTTTAAGTAAATTTTCACTTTCCTTAATGAGTGACAAGTTTTTATTAAAATTTATATACTAATAAATATTAAGATTAATTATATTGGTTTTTGAAAATTGACATTCACATTTTAGTTTTTTTTTTTACATTTTAGTTATCCCATCGTTTTTCAACGGTTACTAATTGTATCATGATATGTCACACTTTATATAAACCATTAAATTATGTTTTTTTACATTTAAATGACTTATTTGCAGTCATACAAAATTTGTAAATATAGTTAGTAATATATTTTTTTAAGGTTTATTTGAATTTTTTACCATATTTATGCGTATCTTGATTTTTCATCCGTATTCATATGTATCCAAAATGTATCCTGATACGTCTCTTAAAATTGTCTTTCCAATACACCTTGCGTTTCTGATACTCTGAACCTAATAGGATACCATCTGCAGTCGTATTAACAAATACTTAAACCTCTCGCTGTATTTTGACCTCTACAAACATTTTCATGTTTAAATAAATATGCAAACACACCCTTTGCCCCGTTGACCAAAAACAATGATGATTTTCAAGTTTTTAAAATCTTGTTTTTTTTTTCTTTGCATGAGAGAATTTATTGTGATGAAAATTTATCACAAATTAGTGATTCACTTTAACTAAGTGGGTTTTATTATTCACTTCATCGAATGAACAAGAAGAAATACCAAGTTGGGGTTGAAGATTGAACTTAAACATCCCTTATTTGCAGAAACATCATATTCAAGCAACCCAAAGAGAAAACAACAATGTTCTTTATGCAGCTGAGGGTTGAAGTGGATGGAACAAGGTTATATTATGATGATGATGATTTGCAATATAAATGAGGTTTTCTAGAGGAGTGCAGATCTGCTCCTCACACCAACCTCACAGGATATCCCAGTTGCACATAGGAAACATTTTCCATACTTGTTTGTTGTTTTTATGGGGAGATGTTCTCGACACACAATGGATATGTGTTGTCATGTTGTGAGGTCAGTGTGAGGTGCACTCTATGAAGAGCAGATCCTGATTCTTCACAGAGGCCATCTGATTCAATCTTCACAAGACCATGCTCATTTTTGTTCATGGGGAGAAACTTCCAATACACAGCTGCAAGTGGCTGCGAAGATAGTATGAGCATAGTCTTGTCCTGTGAGGATTGAATCAGAGTTTTGTTAAAATGGATGGAATGTTCAAGTGTCTGTTTGGGATGGTTGAAGCACAGTGGATTTTGGCTTAATGTGGTGGGCCCCACATGGACAGCTCATGGGCTATGTTTGGTGAAAAAATTCCCAGAGCCCAAATCAGTTATCAATCAGTCATATAGCTGTCTAATTCAATCACCATTTTATATATAGCTAGACTCCACAGTAATAAAGGCTTTGTTCAGGAATAATTGCCATGAAAATGACTCACTAAGTCACAGTTTGAAGATGTTAGGGAGAATGACGGTTCAGCCCAGGGTTAGAATTTTTAGGCCCAAAGTACAGTTGGGGTGGGTGCCAGTACGGAATTGATGTCAATTCACGGGTGGGCATTAGTGTATAGAGTGGGAGTTTTTGACATTTTGAATGTTTATAGTTCTACAGTGGAATTCAGAAATCTGCATTGGGCCTATCCGTACTTTTCTAAAGATGTTACTGGTGAAGATTGCAAATATGATGCTTTTGCAAAGGAAGCCGGCCCACCAAATGAATTCTAAAGATGTTATGGTGAACATTACAACCTGAAGATGTTATTCAGTCGAGATTCTACAACTGGTACTGCTCCCCCTTCATTTCCATCAGTGAATTCTAAAGAGAAACGAAAACAACCTGGTATCCTCATACCAAGAATAGTGATACTTCAAGTTATAATAGTAAAACAAAAAGTTCTTGTGATAGGAGAGAGCAAAGAAAATGACCGGATTTGGTCCTCACAAGACTGCACTCACACTGTTCATACAGTCCCTTGCAGCCTTGTATTAGGAATATCTCCCCATGAAAAAAAAGCATACAAATATGGAGATATTCTCAATGCACGGTCACAAAAGGCCATCTAAACGGTATAAACACGGTTTTGTGAGCACTGAAGTCGATCTCGTTGGGTGGTCAAACAACTAACTTTTATGGCAAATAGCAGCAATATCAACTTAAATCTCTACTGTCGAAGTCAAGATGTCTTAATAGGAAAAGAGAAAAGAGAAAAACACCAGCCAATATTCCCTGTGGTCTAGGAGATTATATGTCGTGGATAACAGTAGCTATCGGCCAAATCCAATGTCAAAGCTTAGTTTTTCAAACCCATTGTAGGTAGCTGGATCTTCCAAGTTCAAACGAAAACAACAAGTAAGGGTGTCCGTTAGACTGGATTTGGTCTAATCTGGTCCAGTCCAATGTGAGCCTATTATAAATGGGCCAGGTTTAATCCAATAAATATTTTGGACTATTTTGGATTGCTCCAATTCAATGTTTGGACCATCTAATTTGTTCAAATTCGTTTTGATTTAGATTGGTTTTTACCCAAACCCAGTCCATTGACACCTATATTTTTATCTTATATCAACGGACAAGATATTGGCTTAAACCAACCAAATCCAATATAAATTTATTACAGACGGGGCCTGTTCGTTTGCTCTGAAGTCTAATATCTGAAAGTGCAATAATTACTTTTTTCTCTTAAAATTAAAAGATTCCTCTTAAGAGATAAGAGTTAAGAGGAAACAAACAGCCCAAAGTCCAATCCAATTTAATCAATATTTTGAACTGGATTGGTCCAATCCAATATATCTTGTTGATCCTCCAATTCGTCCAAATTAATTTAGGACTGAATGGGGTCTAATCCAAAACCGGTCCATTGACACCCTTAACAACAAGAGGTGGTGTAAGGCACAAATAATAGTTAAAGGTGGACCGGGAATGACAAACAATGGAGGTTAAACATGACCAGAAATTCGATTGTACAAAACAAGCGTAATATGCTTGGATTTTCTTTTCTTTAATAATTAAATCCAAGCAGAGAATTATAAGCACCAAAAGGTAACCAGGTGTAAATCTCTCCTTAAATAAAGGTCATAGCCAAAGCACTACAAGCCAATATAAGAGGAACTCTCGAGAGGGT